TGTCATCCTCAGCATCCTGTGTTGGGGCGTATGCACTGATGAAGAAGACATGACGTGAGTGAATGAGTGGGACTCGGAGCGTCATGAGGCGCATTTCAGTTAGCCTGTGTAAGCTGCATTGGCGAATGGCAAAGTCAACTCCATAAATGCGGTTTATCTCTGCAGCAGGCTTACCCATCCAGAAGAAGATATAGCCAGACCTCCTTTCTGTGAGTAGACTTTCGTTTGGGAGCTGGGACTCACTAATGGCTACTATTTCGATGTTATGCCTTGCCAGTTCTTTTGCCACAAGGGCGGTTCTTCTTTCAGGAAGCCCATTTGTGCCAGTATGCAGAAGGGTCCTGACATTCCATTCAGTGGCTGTAAGAGGTTGTAAAGTTAGTTTTTGTTTGATCTGTGATTCTGATTGCATTTTCGACCGCATACGGATGACTTTACTGGGTGCGGTTGCCCAGTCAGGTTGGCTCTTTTGGCATGCTCTTTTAGGGCACCTTTTCTAACCCCCTCCCCATGTGGGTTTAAGCAGATTGGCTTCTTGAAAGGGCTATTCAGTCACACAGACAGGACCGGATTGCGTTGCTACCTAGATCCCAGTGCATAAACGACCATCTTTTCCATGCCGTCCATGTGCAGAATTGTGACAAGAGACTCTTTGCAGTCATCTCTTCTCTCCCCGTCGCCACTCATATATCGCCATAGGACTTTGGGGGTATAGGGGGTTTTAATGATGATGAGTTGGATGATGGGTGTGCAGGAGTTGATTTATGTGGTGAGGCAGAAGTGCAGACTGCAACCACACATCTTGGCTCTCCCTTTTCCTACTCCAGTGGTGCAAGTGTTGCAACGACTGGGGAGAGGGAGAGTTGTAATGGACTACCGATAGCCCAATGCCTTCGTCCACCGATGTAGTCATTGGGCTCCAATGGTGGTCACGTCTTTCGCCTATACTGCCGTTGGGGTCTTGTTGGAGCTCTGTAAGCATGTCTGCCTGATGCGGGGCTCCACCACAGATTTTTCGTTCAAAGCTTACTTCCTTAGCCTCATACCTACCAAGGTTAATCCGCAAGGTAGCATGGCAGTGGTTGTTGGTAGGCGCTAGGACGTGTCCACGTGCCAACGGCTCTATGCGCCACTCCTCTGGGGTCTACTGTTGCTCCGAGATTCCCTGCTGGTCTAGCCTGGGCCCACGAGGCACCCAGTTACCGTGTGTTGCCGCGAGGAAGCATACTTTTAACTAAATGAAAAAGGCTTGAGAGCTAGAACCTAATCACGCAAGATGTAAGTTCAAATATAATTATTATAACCTCAGCATATCTGGTTGAGCCCGGATACTGTCAATCTCTTACTTTCCTTCAAATTTCCTCCCTCTTTTCCTTGATCCTAAACCAATCCCCTCTCCCCCAAATTGCCACCAAACAACTTCCAATCCTAATCCCGGCCCTCCCACCCAGCATTACAAGCAATAGCCTTCTACCTTACCTACAGACGTCAAGTCAAGTCAAGAGGAGGCACAGCAGTAGTCTTGATGGTGAAGAGGCTATGCAGGGGAAGACTTATGCAAGTTGCTTCCTGTTTGTCACTAGGGTTAGCCAGTGGTGGTAGCTGAAAGCGAGAGGAATAAAGCAGTGCTTTCACCTTAACCCTAACATACTGCTACCACACCAGACTTATTATACTACCCTGTGCACACACACACACACACACACACACACACTCTCACGGTGTATACATATATAAACAATGCCTAGTATCTTTTTCTCTGTATTACATGCCTCTCCTTATTTGCTTACTGAAAAACTCAACGTTTTAGGAATATTAAACAGATGCACAGACATGTACCAGACACAATATTTTCCTAGACATTCGTCCAAAATTTGCAACTAATCATCGTTGAGGTAACACAGTTTCATCCAATCAGTTTCCAGTAAATATAAAGACTACATCCAATCAACATGAAACTCACATTCTCGGTGAGGATGACACATTCAGGTGCTGATGAGGTCCGGGAAAAATATTTACTTGGCCAAGCTGATGGAGAGGAAGACAGACAAAGGGGAACGAGGTGAGGAAGAGAGATAGATAGAAAAAAAGTGAGAATTATAAAGAGATTGGTAGAAGGCTAGAGTCATCCAATACAAGTGAATATATTTCATGATAAGCTAAACTTGACTTTTTACGTATCTGATAGATTTATAATAACACAGCATTTGATCTACTATATTAGTTGTCTGAAGGAAAACTATCACTAAATACAAAGTTCAATTGAATAAAAAGAATAATGAATTTGGGCCATGAATTTACTGTTCCTGGAAGACGGGTTGGGGGGGGGGATTACATCATTATTACCATGATATACAACCACTGTTCTCTGCATCAGACATCATCAATAATAATAATAAATAATTATAAAACATAGGCAGACTCACTACCATCAGTCATGGGTGTTCGCTAAACATAAATTCCTGGCGGGTGTAACTTCAGTACGGTGGTTTATATTATTATTGTACACAGTAAATAGAGTTGAACACGCTATGAATCACAGATAATGACCTAGCGGGATGTTGAATTGAGACTTTACCAGGTAATTATAATGAATGAAAACTGGCAATACTAGAGGGTGCTATCTCGCTGGCCACGTAAATTATTACTATGGAGAACGCGAGTCTGGGATTTCATTTAATAAGATATTTAAATGGCGAATATATAATAAATAAGGATGTAATAATATTAAATATTCTGCATAACAGAGAATAGTGAAGTGATTGTAGCTATTGCAGTAACTGTTTAATTGTTTAATATAATATTGTTTAATATATTATACGTGCAGTATACCTTCACGACCTACACAACAACACCGAGTAGTGGACGTAAAACTTTGAGTCTCTGTCCTTGCCCTAGCCAAAAAGAATCAGGCGGCAACGTGTAGTATTTATTTTTTAATTATTTTTACTCCTGTCCTTCTCTGTCACCTCTCCTGCATCTCACTCTCCCTCCCTTCTTTCCCTCCCACACCCAGCTTTATCCTCTCTTTCTCATACGTCTTTTTCTCTTCCCACGTTCAATCTCCTTTTGCTGTTTTCTTTTAGTTCTCTCTACTTTTTCTTTGTTATCTCATGAACCTTTTGTATTGTCCTACATTTCATCTATCTCGTTTTCCATTTTGATCCTCTAGTCTATAGTTTAAACTTAACTTATTTTAAAGCAATCGACTGACTTAAAAAAAATATATTCCTGAAGATTTGTGTTGAAAGATCTTCTGCTCTCTGCACGTCTTTCCACTGCTTTCCCCCCTTCCTTCCCTTCCCTCTCCTCCCCTTTCGCTCTTCTTACCCCTTTCCCTCTTTCCCTTCCTCTCCCCTCTCTTTATCTCCCCTGCCCTCACCCCTGCCAGCACGCTCCCTCAAATGGTTATTCCCTCCTAAAGCCATGTTATCCAATAAACAAGTCTTTGGTAATATTCCACTCAGCTGGTGGCTATTGCGTGTTGGCTGGAGGACGTGAAGTTGGTGTAGCGCTTCAAGGCTTCATTCCATCCCAACTTCGCGATATTAATCCAGCTTGTTTGGGGTCGCCTTAATTGTTGCTTTGTTGTTCTGTATTGGTGTTTCCTGGAGCAACTCGCCTCAGTGTAACACAGTTATTAGTTCATTATGTTGTGTTCTGTTATTATGCTGATGATGACTGTGGACAACAAACCGGCTTAAGGTGATCTGTAACACACACGTATTTATACGCACAGTAGTTAAGTACCATAATCGACAACAGTTAGCCCATTAAGTGTGATAAAGTACAGTACTTTGTTCTCCTTCTAATAGACGGCCAACTGCCAGTGACCACCATAAATTGGATCTTTTCTTACTAGGAAAGAAAGAAGTCCTCTGTGTGTGTGTGTGTGTGTGTGTTATTTGGGGATAATTGCGTAGTATCGATAATTACTAAATATATCTTTTATAGCAAAAATACTGTACTGTACATCGGCTTCTGGTGCGTATGTAGGGGCGATCAAGTAGGTAATAATAACTTACAAACTATAAATACACAGCGACAATACTTATACAACTTAATCTAACTTATATAATAAATAGGTGTATAGGTTTGGTAGAAAAAACTGTACCTTTCAGAAGTTTATTTCACGGTTATATGTATGTATAGGTGTAAAGGCCTGGGACTTAGGGATAGAAATCCCTTACCAGACTAATCAGGATCTTAATACAGGAAAGTCAAGGACCATGATTTTCTGAGGAATAACAAACAACCGTTTGAGATTGACATCTCTTTACTATAAAAAATATAACACAAAACTCTGACACCACTCAACAAACATCAAGTAACAATTACTGGAGTCAAACAATTAATGCAGTCAACAGTCAATGGAGTCAAATAATTACGGGAAGCAAACAATTAAAGGAAGCAAACAATTAAAGGGAAGCAAACAATTAAAGGGAAGCAAACAATTAATGGGAGTCAGCAATTAATAGAATTAAACAATTAATGGAATCAAACAATGAACAGATATTTCCTAAGACAGTGGCCCTGGGGAAGGTTCTGGAACAAGGTGAACCACACTCAGGGGGAAGAGTCCATTCAACTCCACAACACTCGAGCGACAGCGGCCGATGTCATGAAATGGCAGGAGAAAACCGGGGCACAGATGGAGGAGATGAACTGATGGTCGTGGTATGGGGTAGTGGTAGATGACCAGAGAATTGACAGTCGATAGGTTAAGGTCTGGGGACACAGCCCACGAGTCCCGAGAATTTGACGAACAGCGGGGGAAGGTAGTGACTGCACTCACGGCTGAGCAGGATCTGCCTGTGACACAGGTAGCCGCTGCCGTTCTCACCTCTGTCCAACCCCCACAAGTGTTGGTCGCACCAGCAAAAGAGAGTTAGCAGCGGTAACGAGCAGGAAGATCGTTTCCGCCCTTACAATAGGTTCATACTGTATACATTCCTAGAGATATTTAGAATTTATTACGAATGTCTTTTCTCTTTCCACAGCTGTTGTGAGTGTAGTGGAGACGCTGGTGGAGAGGACGGTGGCTTTACCATGTAAGGCCACACTACACCCTCAAGGAGACACCCCAAACTTGCTCCTCTTCTACAGGCACTCCTCCAATATCCCCTTCTTCAGGTACGTATTCCCATGCATATTCTTGTGAAATTTTCTACCTGATTCAAATAAAAATATATGCAGGAGAACCATAGGTACTAAAGAAGTCATCTCTCAGAGGTATAATCGAAGTACGTTCTAGTTTTGTTTTCAAGACCGCAAGAATTCACACGATTAACTATTAAAAAAATTAGAAGATTTCTTACACTACTACATTATTTTTATGTTCTGACAATTACTCATAGGTAAGAGTTTGACCTAGAGTGTGACTCACCTTTCATGAAACACTTAAGAACCTGAAACCGACACGGGATGGCGTGTTGGAATTTAAGTAGATAATTTAGGGAAGAAGAGACTAAGGACTTAAAAGTGTTGAGAAAATGGCTTTTATATTAATTAAACAAATAAACTAAAACTACGTCGAAAATTTATTATATATTGTTGGGTACTGTAAACAATAAAAAAAATGGGGATTTGAAAATAGTTCTTGAATGAGAAAATAAATTTAATTTAAGATTATCAGAGAATACAGGAATCATATTGTGAATAAAAAAACAACAACAACCATGCGTAGAAACACTGAAAATTGAAGATTAAATAAAATGATATATTAAATTCTGTACACTGTTGATTTGTTGTAATTAATGGATCAAAGTAAGATTGGTTTTCGATAAACTGGCTGCAGGGAACTAGACTCTGGGGAACGGGTGAACATAAAGCAACATAATTATTATTGGTTCGTGTCAGTTTACAAATGGTGAACGATAGTAAAAAAAACTTCATCTTACTACAAAGACAAAGACAGAAATAGTCCATAAATGCTAATAAAATAATTCAAAATACGATATTTAAATCAAATTTAATACAAGATAATAATTATATATTCTGTAGAAAGCAGTTGTAATATAGAAATGATCACTTGTATCACCTAACTATTTTTATCTAGGATCATTTCTAATATTTAATTGATAGTTGTTGTGATAACAGTTCTAATATGTCTGATGACTGTAGTAGTAATTATCATGGGGGAACTAGGGAATAAGAGGGGAGAAAACCATGATAGGACCCAACGGTAGGGAGAAAAGAGTAATTAAGATCCCCCTAAACAAAAGCCTACGTCGGGGAATTAATTATCATCAATTCAGGTAAAAAAAAAAGATGTTCAAAATACTACGTAATCTATTAAAGAATATTGATTTACCTCTTAATTTACTGTACTAATGCCTGAAAACAATATAATTTTTATCATTCATGATTTTTCATTTGAATTAACATACATGCATGGATAACTTACATTAAAAGAAGCAATATTGTTATTACGCCACAAGCAAATTACAATATATTGGTAAATCTAATTGGTAGCTATTTGGGTTAATGAAATTTTGACGTGTTTGTCTGACGAAATTATTTAGATAAATATATGTGTTATTTAGATGTAACAGTTTATTAGTAATGAAGCAAATGTGTCCCTGGGCAGGTTCATATTATAGTGATTTGTACAGTAAGTATACCGATCTCTCTCTCTCTCTCTCTCTCTCTCTCTCTCTCTCTTTTCTTATTCCTTTTTTATTTTCTCCTTTTCTACCTAACTTTTGATCTATTTGTTTCACCATAGTGATTTGTACATATACCGATCTTTCTCTCTCTTTGTTTTAACCTTTTCTATTTTCCGTTTCTCTATCTATCTAACTCTCGATCTATTTTTTCTTCTTATCAAACCCTTTCCCACTGTCCTGTAAGGTAGCCGAAATAAAGAGCAAAAATAACTCTAACTGCTGACACATCCCTGTAACTCCTCCCTGCTATTCCAGTTTTATCTATCTATCTATCTATCTATCTATCTATCTATCTATCTATCTATCTATCTATCCAACCACTCTCTCTCTCTCTCTCTCCATCTATCTATCTATCTATTGGTATTTTACCTAAACAGAAAATATCATGTTGAATCATTAAAAAAAACCTATATATATGTGTTTAATTTGAACCAAAAGAGTTTAAGACAACAATAACTTACGGAAAGACGTATTAAGATCAGAATTCACATCGATACGCTCACTTTGCATGACAAAAATACTGTATATCTAAGCTGCGTCATCCCCACAGTCAGAGTAAAACTTAAAAGTACAAGTTGGTCTCTCCTTATCAGTGGGTCCTGTGTGTGTGTGTGTGTGTGTGTGTGTGTGTATGTGTGTGTGTATGTGTGTGTGTGTGTGTTTGTGTGTGTGTGTGTGTGTGTGTGTGTGTGTGTGTTTCTTTCTGGTCACGTCTTACACCAAAACGTGACCAAGTCTTAACTTTGATGTTTCGTTCTATCAATGTGTGAGGGATCTGAAACACGTCTCTCTTTCTCTAAGTCTGTTTCTTTTATGTTAGTCTATCTTTCTATTTATTATCACCTCTTCTTCTCTTTCTCTTACTCTGGGTTTGTTTCTCTCTCACTTACATTCTCACTTTCTATATATTTGTTAATATTTTTTGACAGTGTGTTGCTGTCACCTCACCCTATACCTCCCGTACTCCTTCTATCCACCATTACTCCCTCTACCTTTCCATCACCCTCTTTTCCTCTCTTACACACCCTCGCCTCCTCCACCGTCCACTTTTTCCCTCCAACACACCCTCTTCCCCTCCACCACTACTCCTTCTCCCACTCCATCACCTTTTTATCCTCCACCACTCCCTCTACCTCTCCACTAATCTCTCTCATACTCCACCACTTTCTCTATCGTCAACCACTCCCTCTCCTCTTCCACTACTCCCTACCCATCACTTCATATTTTCCCCTTCCTCTTCCTCCACCCACCTCTTTTCTTCTCTCTTTTTGCCTCTCTTACCATCAAAATGATCTTGTTTTTTTCGGAATATCCCTCTAGTTATCCCCTGAAGGTGCAACTCAACAAGATAGCTTATATCATCACAACCTCAAGAAGCAGAAAAATATGAAAAATTGCCTTTACTTACCGAAGCGAAAATTGCCCTGGAGAAATTAGGTAAATCACCATGAAGTAGCGTGAGTTGTGAGTCTTCCTGGATTTAGCAAGACGGGGTGAAACGTGTGCGTGACCTGAGATTCACAGCGGCGACCTTGATGTTAGACAGACAGACAGACAGACAGACAGACAGACAGACAGACAGACAGACAGACAGAGAGCAGACAGGTATTTATTCGGCATGTTTATAGACAAAGCAAGTATACAATATACAAAGACACTTGTTAAGGATAAGAAGAAGAAGAATGGGGAGGAAGAGTAGAAGGAGGAGCGAGGGAAAGGAGGAGGGAGGAAGAGGAGGAAGAAGAGAAGGAAGAGGAGGAGGACGAGGATGTGGAAGAGCGGGAGACTATGAAAAGACAAACACTGAAGGAGGAGGAAAAGAAGAAGAAAGATAAAGGAAACTAGAAGGAAATAAACGAAAGAGAATAAAAACAAAAGAGAATAATTGAAAATATAAAATAAGAAGTAAAGAAATGGGGGAAAAATAAATTTACTGAATAAACCCGACGATGAAGATAAGAATATTTAAGTTGAATAGAATCGCATAGATACATAATTTCATGTAGAAAGTTCACGTAAAGGCGATGACTAAACGATGACAATTTTCGACACAGGGAGAAAAGAAGTTAGAATATAAACAAGTGGATGATAAACAATAATAATATGAAAAAGAGGGGATAATAATGACAGAATGAAAACATCTTAATAAAAAAATGAAGGGGAACAATAATGAATAAAGAATAAAAGAGAGATAAAGTATAAGAAAGAGTCACGAAATGGTACAAATGATATACATAAAACAAAAGGAAATACTTAGCAAGAAAACACAAGGAGCAGAAACATGTGTGGACGCAGTGTCGATGGGGTGTAATATATGCAAACTCGAGAGTATGTTAAGTCGCACCAGAGAGGTCGTTACTGAGGAGACTCCTCCTGAGGATACCTAAAATGATACACACACTTCAGGGAGAGTGAGGGGGTCTCTCACACGTCAGGGAGATTGAGAGGGGGTATCTCACACGTTGGGGAAATTGAGGGGGTCTTTCACACATTAGGGAAAGTGAAAGGCATCTCTGACAAGTCGGGGTTATTGAAAGGGGTCTCTGACACGTCAGGGAGATTTAGGTGGGGGTCTCTCACACGTCAGGGAGAATGAGAGGGTCTCTCACACATTAGAGAGAGTGAGGGGGGTTTCTGAGACGTCAGGGTTATTGAAATAGGTATCTGACACGTCAGGGAGATTGAAGGGGTTTCTCACATGTCAAGAGGAGTGATTGGGGTGTCTCACACGTCACACAGGTCAGGGAAATTGAGGGAGTCTCTTACACGTCAAGGAGAGTGAAGGGGGTGTTTCACACCATATGGAGAGTAAAGGGGTCTAACACGTCAGGGAGAGTGAAGGGGGTCTTTCACACGTCAAAGAGAGTGAGGGGGTCTCTCACACCTCATGGAGAGTAAAGGGGTCTAACACGTCAGGGAGAGTGAAGGGGGGCTCTCACACGTCAAGGAGAGTGAAAGGGGTCTAACACGTCAAGGAGAGTGAAGGGGTCTCTCACACGTCAAGGAGATTGAAGGGGGTTTAGCACGTCAGGGAGAGTGAAAGGGGTCTCTCACACGTCAAGGAGAGTGAAGGTCTCACACGTCAAGAGAGATTGAAGGGTCTAACACGTCAGGAGAGTAAGGAGTCTCTCACACGTCAAGGAGAGTGAAGGGGTCTCTCACACGTCAAGGAGATTGAAGGGGTCCTAACACGTCAGGGAGAGTGAAGGAGTCTCTCACACGTCAAGGAGAGTGAAGGGGGTCTCTCACACGTCAAGGAGAGTAAAGGGGTCCTCACACCTCATGGAGAGGGGGTCTAACACGTCAAGAGTGAAGCGAGTCTCACACGACAAGGAGAGTGGAGGAGTCTCTCACTCGTCAAGGAGTAAAGGGGTCTCTCACCTCATGGAGAGTAAGGGGTCTAACACATCAGGGAGAGTGAAGGGTCTAACACGTCAAGGAGAGTGAAGGGATCTAACACGTCAA